CAGGCTTATAACAATATGCCCCCATTACGAGACCTAAGATCAACTTTGCTGTCAATAAAGTATGTCAGTTTATGCCAAGTCTTCTTGAAGATCACTGGAAGTAAGTGAAACAGATTCTTAGATATTTAGCCAGAACTAAGACTCATGGGTTACTTCTTAAACCTTCTGTTGATCATACTCTTGTGGCCTATTGTGATGCCGATTAGGCTACTGATTGTAATGATGGGAAAAGCATGATTGGATACTGTATCTATTTTAGAAAGAATCTGATTTCTTGGTCCTTTAAGAAATAAACTATTGTTGCTCATTCAAGTACAAAGGCTGAGTACAGGAGTATGGCATCTATTGTAGCAGAAGTTCTATAGATCAAGTCTTTGTTACAAGAGCTCTCTATTAAGCTTGTGCAAGTTCCTCATGTTCTGCGCTCATGACAAAGAATCCTATTCTCCATGCTTGAACTAAACATCTTAAGTTTAATTTCCATTTTGCTCGTGAACATGTTGTTAGAGGAGAAATTGCTATATTTCATATTCTTGCCTCTTATCAAATTGTAGATGGTTTGACTAAACCAATCTCTAGTACTTTTTTTAGTGATTTTAAGCTTAGGGATTTGGGGATGTACCTTGAATTAAAGGGGCATAGTAGAAATAATTATATTTAGTTATGTATCTGTTACTAATAGTAATTAGTGGTTATGACCAACTAGGTTTAGTTAACTATTGTTAGGTTCAGTGCCTTGTAATATATATACTGTGACTATAGACTAATACTCATATATTGAAGTAATCAAATCATTCTCAAGCATCCTATCTATGCTTTCTCTCTTTCTTATGCTCTATTCTTTGACATTTTTTAATGAGCATCTTAAATTTTAAATTATTGCACAAATAGCATTATGGACCTGAATTTTTGAAATATGCAAAAGCTCCCCTCAAATTCTACATTTGAAGCTCCTAAAACCTCACTGTTAAATTAAAAAAATAACTGTTACTTTTGAATTATGAGATCTAGTTACACGTTAATATAGCACTCAACTTGATCCTTAAAAATAACAATTATTTTTTTAACTTAATGATAAGGTTTTAGGCGCTTCAAATTTAAAAGTAGTACATTTTAGGAGTTTTTAAGAGAAATTTTTTGTATATTTTAAAATTTTATAATCTAGAATGCTATTCATATAATAATTTAATGTTTATGTTCATTAACCCTTCTTGATTATAATATTTCATTGCAATATAGTAGTAGTAAATATCCTGGAATATAGTATTAACTTTTTTCAGTTACAAGAATATAGTATTAACTTAAATAATAAAAAAATACAACAATCTTAATATATATAAAATGTTTTAATTAAAAAGTTTGGTGAATTTTGTTCTTCGATATGATTGGTTGAAGCATGATGCTCTGTGAGATGATAACAGAATATTGACAGGTCATTATTAATGATATGCCTTTCAATCCAACAAAATTATTACTAACGTTTTTGCCGTTTTGGTACCAACATTATATTTATAAGTAATTACACATTCACGGTAGCAAATGTTTAGTCTATGATTTGCAATATGGCCACCTATATTAAAGATTTTTCCCTGTAACCTCTTTGGCTCTTTTTTTTTTTTTCCTATCCTTTTTTCTTTAAAAAAAATTATCTCTTTCTATAAGATATACTTTTCAGATAAAAATATATCATGCGAATTTTGTATTATTTTCAGATGAGAGACTTTCAATATATAGTTGTGTACAATATATTATAATTTATTTTAACACCATTAGTTAATAATCTAAATATGGAAACAACTAATTAATTGGGAATACATACATAATTAATGGGAAAAGTTGTTGAGTAACCAATTAATTACATCAACTAGGGGAAAAAAAAAAACTTTATAATTGTCGGCTCAAAGCTCAAAAGTTAACTTTACGATCTCTATTTAACAAGACGGATCTTCTTAACTCTGATTCCTTACCAACTCAACTAGTTTTGTCTGTTGACAGGAGATGAAGCACTTAATAGTTCCATAGTTATATGTAGCAAGTACATATAACTAGTTTCTTACCCTATTTATATTCACGCGCGCGCATATTAAAAAATAAGAAAACAAGTAACGAAAGAAAAATTAGAGTTGATAATTTAGATGGGCCGTACTTATTCAAATCATGCTCAATTTGGGTCGAACTTATTTAAATCGGGCTTAAAACATCCTACCCCTTCTACAAAGTCCATATAATCAAGCCCGATCATAACACCTTCGGTTTCAGGCTTATTCGGGCTAGCCCGAATATTCAAAACTTTTTTAAATTTTTTTTATTTTTTGAACCAATTTTAATTTTTAAATAATTCTATTAAGCGTAAAATATTATCTTAATTTTAAAAGAATAAAATAAAAAATAAGTTATTAACTTTATATTTAAGTAGCTCTGTTATTATTTTATTGTATTATATATAATTTATTTATGAATGTTTCCTTTACTTGTAAATTAATGTCTTAATTGTTTAAATATTGCTCTTATTATAGTCATATATAAATCATATCATTTTAATTATGATTAAGCTGATCTCAATTCAATCACAATTAGACTACTAACTTAAAATTGTTATCTCGATTAGTTCAAAGTTTTTAATAATTTTTAGGTAAATTGTACTTTTCATTTTTATGAATATAAAAAAAATTGCCATCATTATATTATATAAAAAAATTATTTAATTATGAGTAAAATATTATTTTTTTGAAATTATTTTTTTAACTTTTTATATTGTTTAACTCTTACATAAAAGGGATTCTTACTCTAGTTTACTCTTAATTTTTAACTAAACCTAACATGGACAATAACCAAGTAATTATTCAAGAATATTATTCTATTTATTATGTTTATTTAATAGTAGAGTCGAGAATTCGTACATGCCTAAATTTTATTTTTAAAATTATTTTTAATTTTATTTTTACTTTAAAATTAATTATCTTAATTTATAAAAAATATAAAATTATTTTTTATATGCAAATGATTTATAGGACTCAAAATTTTTTTAACAAAAATTTGGTCTTAAAATATTAAAATCAATATTAAAATATATTTTAAATATTATTTTGAGATATTTTATTAATTAAAAATAATAAAAATATGAAATATAACTATTTTTAATTTTTTATAAAAAATATCTACATTAAAAAACTTATATATATAGTATTTTAGTATAAAATGATATAAAACTTAAAAAATTAATTAATATTTATCATATTTTATATATTTTTTTAAAAATTTATTTTTTTATTTCGGTATTCAGGCCAAACCAGAACCCCATCGGGCTTGGCCCGAATTTCCTCAGGCCTATTCAGGCCGCTCGCCCAAATAGGCCCGAACAATAAAAAAATATTTCTTTCGGGCTTGGTCCTAAATTTTTTCGGACGAGTTTGGACTGGCCCGTTGGGTTTGGCTCAAATTATCAGCTCTAAGAAAAATCTAACCCAAACTTAGCTTTATGAAAAAAGTGTAAACTCAAAAGTCCGTACAAAATCTTGCTTTTAAGATGATAAAGTGATCGTCTATTGTCCAGACTTTGTGATGACTCAAAGTACTACCTCTATCTCGTATAAGATATTTTTTAAAAAAATTTTGCATATTGAAATATAAAATATTTTGACAAAAATAATTAATATTTCATTAATAATACTTTTTTAATATTACACTTGCCATTATATTTTCTTTCTTTAATATTTTCTTACAAATGGAATATCAAATGAATGGCATTTTTAAAATTTTATATTTTTATCTTGAAAAAAATAAAATTATAAAATATAGTTAATAAATTTTATTAGTGTATATAATTTTATCTAAAAATATCTTATAAATTAGGATGAGAGAAATAGGGAAAAAAAAAACACTACACTGAGAGAGTTGTGTGGGCCGGGAGAGGCCTATAATGCACTAAGCAATATGTAGTATATATGATGTGTCATGTGTTTTATATATATATAATACTCTCTTGTCCGAATTGTAACATATTTTTTTTTCCAACTAAATTTGGCCCAAAATCTTAGCCACTTAGTAATTTTCAAAATTATTTGTCCAAAATTGACTTTCATATTAATTAATATGGACATGAGAAATATAATCTAACCAAACACTTCTTATAACCCTTCCATAATAAAAGAGTTAGAGGCAAGAAGTGAAAGACACGTTATTTTTTCACAAAAGTAAGGATATAATTATTTTTTTCAATATAATATGGTTGAAAGTTTCTTAGAATTAAAACCGGATCTGGATGCAAAAGATGAAGCACGCACTTGCTTCCCTTCCTGTGGGACATCCACCTTGTGCCGCCATTCATGCATCTTGCTGTAACATGTTGAATCTAAGGAATTTTTAATTGGGATATGCTTTTAAATAAAACCCTTGAAGATAAAACTGTGAAACTTATATAATACTTCATCGTTAAGAATTCTACTCCAATGTTTTATCAAATCAATTCACTTATTGCAATATCTATTATCATTTGTTACAAGTTGACTAATGAATTGTGTTACGTACCGTGCAACCAAAGTTATATATAGCATCCAAAATGCCAAATATCCAACCCCGATATTTAGCCAGGACAAAGACAAATATATGGATAAAACGTGATTCATTCATTGAGATAAACTGCTATATATAGCTCTCGCGTCTGGCTAGCTTCTCATTTTTCTTAAAACCTTATCTGGAAGTTGGAACGCCTTGTCATGCTATAGTCTTCTAGTCAACCATATTTGTGATAAGAGCTTAGCCACTTTGCCTAGCTGGCTAATCATATATATAGTCAAGCTCAAGCATCCATGGCAGGAAATTAATTAAATAGCTGAAGACGTTACGTTCCACCAGCATTCAAACTCGGGAAAAAAAATTTAAAATATGCATAACTAGACATCGGTATATATAAACTCATCAGTTTAAGTTGTGTAGAGAGGAGCTTGAAAGATCCATTTTTGTCAGTACTCGAAGGATATGATGTATCTGGTAATGTCATTTCATTTTCCGAGGTGGAGTCAAAATAATTACTGAAGGCAAACGGACACGCTTAATTAGTTGTCGGTTGTGCGTGCAGGCAAAACCTCAAAATGATCATAGAAAAGATAACTTGTTTATGTCACTAATAATAATGTTTGGTCGAGAATAGACCCCACACTTAAGCACCAAAAAACAACGACCTTGCACCCACCTAGCTTCCTCCATCTCATCATCTCTTGAAAGCCTCCTTAGCCCTTACACTTTCTGTGAGTGTATCTTAAGCCTCCCTCTCTCTTTCTCTCCTCAGAAACACCATGAAGAAGATCAATCTAATACTCAGAAAGTGCAAGAGCTTGTCCAGGCAACTAGCAAGATCATCCTCGTACAGCAGCCTCAGATCCAAATCGACCAAAGAAGACGTCATGTGGAGAAGCCAAGAACAAGACGACGAGGAGCACTGTGTAACTACATATGTTGGGAGCACGAGGAAGAGGTACTTGATAAGCTCTAAGTATCTGAACCATCCTTTGCTGAATGCTCTAATCGATAAGTCAAAACAGGCCGAGGATGTGTTGGTGGTGAACTGTGAGGTGGTGCTTTTTGATCATCTGTTGTGGATGCTGGAGAATGCAGATCCTAAGTTTAGTTCGGAGTCTTTGGAAGAATTGGTACAGCTCTACGTGTTCTAATTAATTTTTTGGTGTTTATAATCCTCTTATATTAAAGTTAGCATCCGTCATCTCTAATATATGGTTCTACTCTACATTGCTTGGTTTTCCAAGTTCTAACTCATTTCTTGGGGTCTATGATTCTTTTACCATACTATTCATCAATAAATGGCCTTTATGCATGCAATCGTATGTTTATATTGTAGATTCTGTGTTCTTGGGTCTCTTAACTCTGAATAAATTCATTAAGACCCTACGAGATCGATCCATGCATAACAATAATGCGATTTATCCTTTGTTTTTTTTCTTTTTTAACTCAGTATAGTTCTTGATATATCTGGAAGAAGTTGCATTTCTGGTTAATAGAATCAAATTAGTTTATCTGGTGCGATCAAAATAGGTATAGAGACATGGATTAGTTCATTTGATGATAATCTGAAATATATTTTACTTTTTTGTACTGAATAATATTTTGCTGATTTAGTAATACATATGAAACTTTGTTTCTTTTAAACAGGACCCTGCGATGCTTTTGATGCATGGAAAATTCAAATTTTCAAAAGTAGGAAGTATATTATAAGATGTTAGCATAAAATAAATATAAAAAAGTTTACTAAAATTTGTGGATTACATCTTTCTTAATTAGTTCCAATATTTTGTAAATAGATGTCTATACTGAAAAAAACAAAAAACAAAAAAAGAAGTAAACTTTAGACTCAAACTAAATTGAATATTTTACAGCATATTGTCATATATTAAAAAGAAATAATACCAAGAAGTGTACGACTATATACGAAGAATACTTCTTCTCTTCGCACCTTTTTTTTTTTCAAGAAAAAAAATATTTTCTAAATGCACTATATTCAATTATTTTTAGGAAGAATTACCTGGTCGCATATAAAAAAATTAATTGTTACAAAATTTATTAATAATTAAATTAAGGTTATTGTCAATCATTTTAGTTTAATTATTAGTGAACTTTATAATAATTAATTTTTTTATATAGAATTTCAAGATAATTCTCAAATATTTTTATGAGGATATAAGACTTAGGTTAGTCTTAAACACCACCTAACATATTAGAATAATGCGACAACTGAATCTTTTAAAATCTATTAGCAGATTTAGCAATGATGTGTCCACCAACTCACGCGTACTGAATTTTTATTAATTTATTATTGTTATTATTAAAGCTATATTTAAGGATTGGTAATTGCAAATAGCCAAAATTTATGATTATGTATGAGAAAGTTATGTTGGGCGTTAAGAGGAAGTTATAGTTGTGATCCGACAATTTTAAGTTGGAATGTAACAACTTTATTGTAATAATGAGATCCAACAATAGGAATGTTGTTCATCTATCTTAGGATTTCAGCTATGAATCAGTGGTCCCATGACAACACTAAATAATTTATAACCTGTAGTTTAGCAGTAGTATCTTTATTTATTTTTGGAACGCTAAATGGGCTCCACTTAACCAAAGAAATAGAGAACGTGAATAAAAATATAGGCCTAGACGGAGTACATTTTATTAATGTATATTAGTGTGCAAATTGGAACAACTACCTTGCAAAAAATCATGTGAAATCAATTCCACGGTGGGACAATTGAAATCAATGAGTTCTTTGATTAAAACCTCTACTAGCTACACAATTTTATCAACCACATGGAGAAAAATATTTTTTTAACAAAAGAATAAATTATGACATTCATTAAATCTCTATTATTATCATCATTTTAAAAATATCTGTATTCATTATAAAAACACAAAATATATAAAAAAAATGATAGTAAAATTCTTTCAAATTATATAAATGACAATCTGATTCTTAAATATCATCATTTAAGTAAAATCTTTAAAACGCTCTTTATCAATAAATTTTAAATTAAACAGATATTTTTACCTTTATTGACAATTTATAATTTTTTGTTTAATTCTTATAATTTTTTTTAAAAAAAGTTGTCATTCTTTAATAAAAGTTGTAATGAAATTTGTTATTTTGAAAATTTATTTTTTAATGAAAGAAATTACACTTAACAAATTATAATATTTTGTTCAACTTTTATGATTCACAAAATAAAAATTTTTTTTAAATAAAAATTATAATTAAAACTTGTCTTTTAATAACAAAATTATACTTAATAAATTATAATTTCTTATTTTATTCTTATAATTTATAGAATGAAAATTATGATTCCTTAAACAAAAGTCATTAATTGATATTTGTTATTTTCAGTAAAAATAAAATGATCCTTTCACTAAAAAAAATATTGATAAAGAAAAACCTAAAAATTTCATTAAAATTATAACATTTCAAAAGATCTAATTATTATTTATATAATTTGAAAAGATTTATTATCATTTTTCCAAATATTTATCTATGAATTTTTTTATTTTATCAATATACAATATAAACTCGACATCTTTTCTCTTTCACAATGCATGAGGAAAATGATAATTGGAAAATATTTAGATAGCACTCACTTTTAAAACATTTAAATCTTGCTGAAAAATTGAAAGAATAATAAGAGCTGCACAGGTAAAAGTTGTATTTGATCAAATCTTTCAATATCCTCTTTATGGGGAGGGGAAAAAAAACCTTATAAGTGGCCAATCCTAGGGAGAGAGGTCTCACCCTTTTTTCCCCTTCTTTTCCCTCCACTTTTTCCATCCCCACCATTCATATCATTTTATTAAATGAATTTTTATAATTATAAAATTAATGATTGGTCGAGATTGGGGAAGCAAAAAGAAAAGGAGACCCTCTACCCCCAATCCTGGGGTTCATAGAAATAAGCTGAATTTACAGAGATTACTCCAAAAATAATTAACATTGAGAGATGTCAAACACCTTTTTTTTTTTTTTGCCAAAAATAACTATTCGGTTGATTTTCTCTTTCTTCCAAGAACAGGGGCTTTCTGAAATCTAGGTCCCCCAATTCGCCACTTCTTAAAGGATGCCATGGAGGACTGAGCTGCCTCATACACTACAAAAGAACCAAAAAAAAAAAAAAAACCATGGACTCAAATAAATTGAGCTACACTGATCAACCAGCTTCAATAAAAGAAAAAATGAAGTTGTAGACAAAGATAGGAACTACTTCCTCCATCTCAAATTATAAGATATTTTTGGACAAACTCTCAAGTATCAATATGCATTATTAAATGTACTTAACATCCTTATTTTTTCAAAACAAAAATGTAAATTTCAAAAACACTCTTCATTTACCATATTAGAAAGGGAGGAGAATGGAAATTAAATAAAGAAGGGGGAATATTGGAATAAGCATATTTAATGGAATATTAATATTCTCAAAGTGTTTTTTAGGACACCGGATCTCTCCAAAAGTAACTTATAATTTGGGAAGAAGTATGTTTTATTCCAAAAGTATAATAAAACTCACAATTCATCTCTTCATTTGTTAGAATTGACCAGAATTTGGAAGCAGCTGAAAATGCTGCGGTATGTGCCTTGGTGAGGACTTCCTTGTACCTATTCTTAAATGCAGACAAGAGCAGGAACCCAATTGTCCTATCACCAACCCTGCCATCAAAAAGCAACAAAAATATTTACCCAAAACAAACAAGAAAAGAAAAGAAAACTGACTAAAACTTTGGAGAATCACATCATTCAGTGTTTTCAATCTTTATAAAAAATTCAAATTGTGAACCTTAACTCCTAAGATTCAAACTCATTAGCATGGCAATCATGTTATAAGTAATTCATGATTCATAAGTTTTAAATATGGAATACATAATAAGACATTTAATGATATTGGTAATCCATAATGTACAAATCATTGGACACCTTGTATTAATGTAATTCTTCATCTAAAACAAAGAATATCATGTAACATACAACACGCGGATCATAAAATAATTCCCATGACAAGTCACTTAATTATAAATCTTGGATCTTTGGGCAAATAAAAAATGGTCTACGACTAGCATTACTCATTACCAAAAGTTTAGGTGGCTTGAATTATATCATTCCCCTTATTAAGGTGCCACGAGGGCAGGGAGAAAGCAGAACAGAAAGGTTGGATACAATTTCATTATAAAGGCCTACTGCTCATGCATGGTGTAACCAGTAATTCCTTGGCATTTCATCACTCTTCATTTGAAATTTGGTTTGTCAAATTGGAAACTATAGTGATAATGACTTGAATGAGAATGTTTTATGCATTGTGAGATAGGACACAGTGAAAAGTTGATTGGCCCTTCAAAGTTGTCGAGGTTGGCAGCAACTGTAAAATATCATCTGAGATAGGACCGTAAGACTAAGCAAGAAAATGTCCATGGGAATGTGACTTTAAGCCTAGAGCCCTAGTGGAATTAGCAACCTTTAGTTAAAGCTAGAAACTGAAAAATACGGTATAGAAGAGACTTACACGGGTGCTATCTTGCATCCAAATTCATAAAAGAATGGACATCGAGACCTCAGATCCACACTGGCACAATCAGCCTGAATCTCTAGTCTAGTTCTGAAATCAAGAACCACCAACTATAAGAGCAGATGAAGGCGTAAATAAAGCAAACACTTTAAAATCTAAATTAAAAAATGATCCAATATTAACTACATTCCTCTTGTACATTTGGACACAATTGCAGATGATGATTTGCAAATATGTTCTGTCAATATTGTTCATGACTTCCATAAAAGCAATGGGAATTCATCACTAAACACATTCAATCGGAGACAATTAATAAGAAAATACGAAAAGAAGGTGGAATAATAGCATTGAATCCAAATCAACTCAAAGTCATGGGCTAACAAGCAAGGTTTGCCTAACCATTAAGTGTACCAGAATTAAGCAAATAAAGCTAAATTGGCATTGCTTCTTAACTCATTGTCAATGTAATGATGAATTGTAAATATTGCAAGTGAAGCCTATGAATTGCTAACAGAGCTAAAATTTGATAATTACTTTTGATCAAAACAAGAGGGAATGTTGATTGATACTACTTGTCTCAGTTGTAATTCATGAGCGAGCCAGAAAGGCAGTTCCACCTTGGAACCTGTTTCAATCTGAAAGTCAAACAGGCTAGTGTCTCGTTAAATCATTAGAGAAACATAGGGCAATGATTTGTTTTTCAATCATAAGTGATCAGCAGTTCTCACACAGTCAGTTTCAGAGCTGGGATCTATTCCCACTCCTGACGCTACCTTTTGGAATATAACTGATACAATCTGTAGCAAGAACATGACACGTTATAATATTAGAATAAGAAACTGAGTAGGGTAGCAATACAGACCAGCAACTGTGTATTCACAAGCATCAACTGAAACATCAAAGAGACAGAGAGGAAACAAATTATCATGTTTCTTCTTCAGTGTATATCAACTGTGTATATCCTTGTACATATATCCTTGCATGTACAAGGATATATTGCCTTTATCCTGATATTTGTTACTCCATACTAATCTTGTTATAATCTAGTAGCAGCCCAAAACACCTTCAGCCACATAGCAAGTTTAAGCTAACTGCTAAATTAATTCATTTATTGACAATATTATCCTTAAATATATTTTACCACCATCCCTGATTCAACTTGACATGCTAGAGTTAAAAGAAAGTAAAAGGAGAATCTTAACAGTCTGATGACCACCTCTTCCTCTGTGATAATGTCATCAATGTCATAGTAGTTTGCCATCAAAAACTTCCAGATTGCTACTCTGACACTTTATCCTGACCCATTGAGGACAGCTTAGTAGTGAACTGCATACAAAAACACTTGAAGTATATCAGTGCATTGAGATCTTTAATCTCATTGTGATAATGTCACCTGCATACTTTATTTGCTATCAATAAAAGGAATTTAAATAATTTTGATACCAAAAAAAAATGCAACCCATATATCCAAGTACATTATTAAAACAAAATTCAGACAGCAATTTGAAACCTGAACGAACATGAAAACAGCTAGCTCATACAATTTTCACGGGAGACCAATTAACTCGGAATGCTTTACACAGTCACAATCATCCCAAGTTAGGGGACATGAGAAGCACTAGGACAAGCAATTAGGGCACAGCAAGATCAAAGATTGAAGAAGATAGGAGAACCCATGAAAAAAAAATGTAAACCAATATAAGAAATGTACAATACATGAATAGAAATGCAAAACAAACATTGGCGAAAGATACCAGGAATAGGCCAGAATCAAATACTTCCCAAGAGCCGAGACCCAAGAGCGAGGCCTCGAGAGTCGAGAGTTTATGGTTCGCGCGGGAAAGGGGTTTTCCCTTTCAATCTGTAGCGCGGCGTCGTTTTAAAATGATTTAAAAAAAAAAAATCTCCAATTCAACTAGGGTTGGATTCAGCTTTCAAGTGGGCTCATCTCGAATAATTTAGCCCAATTTTGCTTGGGGCAGCTTCTTTTTTTCGATTGGATATGTTAGATTTCTTTTTTGTTTTTTCACGCCATCTATTAGCAAGTTGGAGTTCTGACTTCTGAGCAAAAAATAAAAGAAAATTGTTTTTTTCTTTTTTGGGAATACAATAGGATGTGAAGTCCTAGCCTTAAGAGCACCTAGCCTCCTAGTGTTAAGAATTGCTTCTATTGTGTGATGTACGTCTTTTTTAAATTTTTTTTCCCAACATTTCAAATTTACTTCTGATGAATTTTTGAATAAATAATCATACATGTGATATCTTAAAATGTTATGGTTTTTCTAATTATATGTTGTCAATAAAAATGTATAGTTTAAGAAATGTGGATTTTTGAAAAAAAAAAAAGAAATTAATTAACTGTAGTATTGTCATGTTTTTAAAAAAAAAATTGAGAGAAAAGTTTGTGCAACATACGAGTACATGAAAATATACAAGACATGTTAAAGGTCCTTGTTACTTGCACTGCCTTCCCATTCGCGATTCTGGTTTATGATATTATATGGCCTGTAATAATCAGTGTTTGTTAGCCGTTCCTTCCAATGAACTCAAAGTACTCCCAACTTAAGATGGATTGAAGGCCTTGTTAGGTGTTATTTTTTTGCGATTTTGATTCGTGAGAAGTGTTTCTACATTTTTTTTCAATAAACAGCCAGGAAATAAGGACAAGTTTATTGGTGAAATCTTGCGTTTATGCTAGTATGTGTAAAGTTAAATATTTGCAGAAAGCAAGACTTTGGTAAGGGATCACATGAATAGGATCCAAAGGGAATAACAAAGATCCTTGCTGGACACCAACAATGTAAGGTGTAGGTGTGAATACTGAATTATTACTTGAATTATCAGAAACAACAGCAATCCAGGAAACAGCAGCAGCAAATAGCAGCCAGACTGCAATTACAATATTATTTAAGATCATCATCATGTTTTTGTTTTTGTTTTTTTTTTTTTTTTGAGAAAGGAGATATATATGTTAGATAATTTATACGAGTATGTATGCGACGACGAGAGGCATGCATTTAGAGTGATTCGCTGTGACTGTAAATTATAAGAATTCTATATGATTGTATTAATATAGAATCTGTCATACAATATAAACAAAGGGGATTGGTGGGATCGAAGAAGCAGGAAAATTGTACGAACTCTTCCAGATAAGTCATACACTATAAAGCTATACGTCGCTATTTGTGCCACTGAGCAAGATGAAGAGATTAATTGGAAGCAACCATGGAGCACCAATATGTATTTTTATGGCTTATGTTTTATCTGCACAGTAACCGATGCACCTCCATTTGTTGTTTTCTGGCCAAATTAAAATGCATTTCTCAAATTCAAATCAATTATGCCTACGAACGGATCAAATTTTCTTGTCCTTTTCAGTATTCCATTTTACTTCCTCCTATCATACACGACCAGTGTCGGTATTGCATTGTCAACATGCATATGGTGAACATATCAAAGCAGAATCCTGTTTCTATTGGTGGTTCTCTTCTTATTGACCTGTTCTCTTCATGTTCAGTTATGTTTGGACAAATCAATAATTCAAATTGAGCTCCTTATATTCTCTCACTTGTATGGTTTAGTTGGACATAATTAATGTGTTTAGTTAGTCATTTATTATGATTAGAGATAAAGAAAGAAGACTCACATCTAGAACATATAAAATAGATTAAGAATATATAAAGTTTAGGTTATTTTAATAAAGTAAATTACCTTCAAACATTCTTATACAATTATCACCTTTTAGCATAAAGGGGAAAAAAGTTTTGTTGTTCATGGCCCGTTGCTTTCTTATTTATGAGATTGTTTGCAAGCTGGATGGGCCAAGAGACCCACTCCAACACTTGGTGGCAACAAAATTAAAGCTTTTCAATATCGATCCTATGACACCAACAGTGGACACAGCGTCTGTGAGAACCCAAAATAATAGCTGAAACTTTTTAATCTTTCCACGTAAATCTCACACATGCTCATACATGCTGTCGGTCACTCCCATACACATGTGTGAGTGTGTGTTTGTTTCATACAGAAAAAGCTTAGCACTGTCATTAAAAGGTGGTGGGCGTTCCAACGAGGGAATCCCAAAAGCATATTAGCAGACATATGCGTATACACACACACACATATGTTATATGTATATTTCACTCAGACAAACCCAAAAGTTGAGAGTACAAACTTATGATCCAAATCAGCAAATTCGGTTCCTGGATCTATAGATCATGAGCATCTTTTTATTGAATGCCCAGTGTGAGATGGGAAACCAATGAATGCGAAATGACCTGCTGTTCCATCGTAGGGAAAAGGAAAATATATATATATATATATATATATATAATGCACATGGAATTATGAAGGCCCATGGCAGAAGATAGAGCATGTATTGGGAAATGAATCGTTCAGTGGGGAGAAAGTATTTTACTAACTATTCCATTTGACCACGTCCATGAGCCCCATTTCCCAAAATCTCCCGACTTTCTCTTCGACGGGAATTGAATTCTGATAGTGAAGTTACATGCATCAGTAAAAAGGATAAGGCCAAAAGAATCAAACGGTGCTCTTAGCTTTATTATTTTTAGCACAATATCGGGTCCAGTTCTTACACCCTTCTCATGACTGAATGAATGAATGAAAATTGCAATCTCTCCCAAACCTAACGGTCAATTGTTTTTGCTCGCCATCAATACATGTTTGCAAAACCTACCCTCCTTTTCAAGCATCTGATCTCCACAAGTAAGGTATGTTTCCCACACAAGAAATAATGATATCTCAACTTGTTATTTTAAGTTTGTCATCGCACACTTATATCTCTGTGTGATCGGCGATGTCAAATGATTCTAAATTCTGTATCAATCATAAAAAGGCATCAAATGATCTTGAGATGATATTAAAGGAACAGATTAAACTTATTCGTACCAAACCACCATATTGGAATTGGAAGTTATCCTAAAACCAAACTTCGGAAAGCTCTAGCTAGGAAAAAGATGGAAGGAACTGTTTGTTTGTGTTTCACGACGAAGAAATAGCCTCATTCATTAATTATCATACCAACCTCTTTTTTCTCTCTCACGCACACTGACACATATATTGAAAGGACGCTTGACATATTCAAAGTTTGGTTTTATTATATGCTTGAATTGTGGAGGAGATGAATGAGATTCCCAAAAAGAAAAAAGAAAGAAAGGGGGAGAGATTCTCATAATGTGAAGTCATGGAGGGGTGGAGATCACATGTAGAATATAATAAAAGCTTTAAGTTGAATTGAGAGAGAGAGAGAGAGAGAGAGAGAGAGAGAGAGAGAGAGAGAGGGGATGCATATAATAAAGAAAAGTATGTGCCACTAGTCAAGATGGAAACGATTTGCCCTAAAAAGGAGGCAAGCACAAACACACATGATCCCCCTAAAATATGTATAATTGCAAATAATAATAAAGTAAAAGCAGGTATCGAAATGTAGTTAGTATTTTTATGACTTTGTTTGTTCAACATATGTGCGCACTTTTGTATCCTTTTCGCTTGTGGTTACATTAAAGGAGGGTCAATATGGTAATATACATAGATATATATGTGCAATAATGGAGTTTGGAGCATTGAAAGGGAAATGGAATCAATCTAGCTACTTGTCATCTTACTTACTTCAATTCATCAATCTCTCCAAAGTCCAACCCTCGCTTCAAAGAAACTTCACGATAAGCTTAGCTTTTGCCAAATTCTCTTCTTTCTCAAATAATTATAGATGTACAGTAATCTTGTTATTTCAACATTTTCTTTTCAATCTTTATTTAATGCCCAGCGCCATACTTGAACATGTTATGCGCAATGTATGTTCTCAAATCACCAAAAAAGATGCATGGCCCTCCATATATGTACTATATACATCACAATCTGTATAAAAGTTTGGAAAAATATATCTTTAATTAAAATATTTGTGTTATTTATTACTGTCTCAAATTATAAGAGACTTTTAAACAAGATTTCATATACCAATAAATTTCATTAAATACCCTCAACAATTTTATTTTTTTCAAAACAAAAATATAAACTTTTAAAAATATTATTAATTTAATAACCTTAAATCTATACTTAATTAGTATTAAATAGAGATAGAGAAAGAAAAATATTGAAATAAATATATTTAATAAAACTTTAATCTTCTCAAAGTACCTAATGATAAATCTTTTTAAAAATGTTTTATAATTTAAAACAGAAAAACTATATTATAATAAGAAGCAGAAGGAAGGAGTATATGAGTAAATTAATATGCTGAGCATTAATAGCGTTAACATCAAATTAGATGTCACGCTAAGCAATTGGGAACATCGAGAAGTGGATAAATATATGAAGCCACTTGCGACGAGTCCTATAGTAGCTTATAGTAATTAATTAACACATGAATCAATAAAAGGCCTCCTGAAACGATCCGTACTAGTAGCTATATATATGCGTCAATTAAGTAGCTTTGATACAACGAACCAATTTGAGAATCCTTAGTTGGCCACTGGGTTTGATTTGGTTCGAATTAATTAAGGACGAGTAACAATAATATTTAATTAATTAAAATTAAAATTAAAAGTATGGACTAAAATAGCGTGGCTGGCAGGCTAGCTTGGTTGGCAATTCCAGAAGGGACTCGAGAATTTGTCATTTTGTCTCCTTAAAGCAAGCTAGGGCGTCCAACATAGCAAGTCTAAACAAACACAAAGTGTTAAAGAAACAACCAAAAAATCTGTACCAGCATGGCATGGCCTTCTTTTGTTGGACTCAGTCTGCAATTTGCAGTCATCATGTTCGATACATATAATAATTGAATGAATTGTGCCTCCCATCATATCAATCATGCATATTTAATCAACCATTTCATTCATTATCATAAAATATAAATTAATATAGAGTACATACTTGGTGACATGAACTTTCTAGGAAAGCTACATATATGGGTGTCTCGTTTGTGATGATAATAATGTCCAAGGAATAATTTGAAGCAGCATCTAATGCAAAACCCTAATTGAGAGGGATTTACAGATTACAACGTATGTGTGGATGAATCATTGTGATTAATCTGAAGCAATGTCTGTCCCACAGCAGCTGGCATCACATATAAAGTAATAACATCATTAATTGTGGTACCTCATATATTTATACATATATTTTTGGGTGATTTAATTATTCAAATCCTGTCACTAAATATCTACAATGGATAAACTCGCCAGCAGGGAATCTCTTCTGTCTATTGTGTCGCTTGTAAATTGTACAGTCGTATAGATTTGGGAGATTGATTGACTGTGAAGCAACATTTGACTCGTCGGATATCTTTTTTAAAAAAAACTTACTGAAAAGATTTTCTGCATGTATGTTAATGAACGGGATACAAGACAGAGACATATATAAACAATAATATTTGAATTTTATTTATTATTATTCAGATTAATTTAAAAGATATTAAAGATATAACGTTGCTATTTTTTTTTTTTGGGTTAACTGCAACGTTTCTAGTTAATGTATCTTATTTTGTTTACTCTTATTGGATTCTAATTATTGTATAAAGAAATCAAACTTGTTTGCTTTGTTATGGGAAGAAGAAGGGGTTTATAATATATTGCTTATAAGTGAGAAATATTGCCGGATTTACGTAAAATCCGAAATGCGATGAAAATTAGAGGGTAAGTATAGTATATAGTATATACTCACAAGCTAAGCACTGGATAAACATAACTCCAATTGCTATTTAGTTAGAATTTGAATTTTGCAGCTATCAAAAATTTATATACTCTTTTTATTTAAAAATATAAAATATTTTTAATAAATTTAATGTTAAAAATTATAAAATATTTTAAATTTTTTAAAGTGTAATTATTTTTTTAAAAGTATTCTATTGAATAAATAACTTTATATTTATTATAAAATATTTAATAAAAATAAATATAAAAAATAAAATTAATTTAAAAGTAAGCAATTACTTTATTAAAAGTAAAATTTAATTAAAAATATTTTATATTTTTTACCATAAAAAACTTTATATTATACATTTAAAGTATTTATTTTGAATTAAATAATTAAAGACATATAAATTTATATATATATATATTATTTATTACATAATAAATTTTTATTAATAATAATAATATTATTTATGTATTTAAAATTTATTTTTATTTATTTGATTAGATAAAAGTATATTAAATATATAAAATTAATATATTTATATATATATATATATAATTTAGTTTATTTATTTTGATGGGATGTAATAACCGGAGCATGCTGAAGGCTCTGATTCCCACAAACTTTGATGTCTATCCAAAATTGTAACTGCGAGAGGCTGTTTAGCTTTTATTAGGAGATGAATGTGGACGCATTCAGATTATATGTAAACCAAGACCATAATCCATTCAATTATTGAGACGTGTATGTACGTTCAAGGATACTTTAATTTCCTAACATCACAAATTTATTTACTTACTTATCTCACATGCATAATCCTAACGTTTTTTTTCTTCTGATTTTTAATATTCATATAGTAAATAATTTATAAACCCCATCAAAATTTGAATTCAAATCACACATGTTTTAGATTAGATATATCAAATAAACTTACCTCTCTCTTTTATTTCATCATCATGCTAGCTTAATGAGCTACTCAGAGCTCCATGCAAATTGTTTCTGGCGCCAAAAAAAAAAAAGTTCCACATGAAAATTGCAATATTACACTTCCCATGTTTGATTCAAATTATTATACCACATTTTTGTTCCATGCATTCTATGTGATGCTAGGAGTGATCATTTCATATTTGTATTCATTAGATCGATGCACGAGAAGATTTTATATCTTATTTATATGATTATGATTATGATTGTTTATTTCCTAGATAAAGTTACTAACAGTCCTAAGTCTTGATGTCAATATAATAATATCACAGTTTTTTACTTTAAATTATAAAGTAGTATTTCATATAGAATGGAAATATCAGGATTACAAAAAAGGAAATTACGGTCCCAAATTGAAATAGTCTTATCCAAGATGATTACGGTACGTTAAATTCAAATTTGAGATATTTTTTCACAGGAGAGTTATATTTTTACATATAATTCAAAAATTTTAAAAAATTTCAATCCTAACAAGTCATAAATAATATACCTCAGTCAATCTATATAATAAATAAGAAATTATTTTCGAGGGCATTGATACTTTTTTATTAAAAATTCGGAAGCTGCTTAATATTTCTTGGGATTTCAATCTAAAATTAGGACACGTGGCAGGGAAGCGATTCTCATCAATCTAGCCTCCTGAAATGGAGCAAAGAGACAAAAAGGACCCCATTCCACGCTGGCACCTCGCACGTGTTTCCATCGTGGGCCCCGCCTCTTCACGTTCTTCCCGGACACACCCACCCTCGGAAGGAGTCAAGGCGGGGGGGCGTTGGACGCTAGTCTAATCAATCTCTCTTCCTTTCCCTCTACTCCTTGCTTTTAAAAATAAAAAAGAAACTCTAATTTAATTTTTGTCTAGACAAACAAATTATTAAATTATATGTATGAAAAGTATAAGTATAATAATTAAGAGAGGAAGTTAGAAATAGTACTTGAATTGAATTATGTTATATTATATTAGGATATAAGGAAGGATTAGAGTGAGAAAACTAACAACAATACATGGATATAGATAAATAGGCGATCTGTAAATAGGACAGAGACTAAAAATTCGCTGTAAACTCCGCGCGGGTTACGTGAATAAAGTCAAGTAGCCAGACGGGACTTCGTGGTCACCGAATCCATAGCATCTCTTATCGTTTCTCCATATTTATTTATGAAATCTGTTTTTTTTTTTAAATAAATAAAATAAATAAATAAAAAGCATAGGAAAAAGCCAAATCCTTATTAAACCCCACCATATTAATGCATGCCTTTTCCCCCTCTCACCGCCTACCACCCCGTCATCATTCATCACACACACTGTCTCTCTCTATCCCTGGCCCACACATATATAGTTAGACACAAACCCAAATATTTATATCATCCATAACACTTGCACGCATTTCATCGCCAACGATCTTTCATATTTTCTCTGCCCCTTCTCTCTCAAACTAAACTACCATGGCTGTGGAAGCTCATCATCTCAATCAGTTTTCCTCACACCTCTTGGGCAATCGGTACGGTTCTTAATTCCCTTCTTCCTTTCTCTTCTCTTTCTCTTTGGATTAACTATATTCGATCCATCTCACTGGCATCCATTGTTTTTATTTTTTATCTGCAGAGATATCATTGCCTCTGTTCAACCGAGTATGAATCTGATCTACAATAACGCCCAGATGCACACTTATAACTCCTCCCTTCTCCCATTATCGGGCACTTCCACCGCCACCGCCACCGACGCTGCTCTTCTTCCGGCGCCTTACAGTTCTTTCATCGTCGATTCTCTTCCTCAGAAAAATCCAATGAAATCTGACAGTGGCCTCTCCTACGGTCTCCCCGTCGCGTCTAGAAAGCGTTCCAGAGATTCCACTAATTACCCCCTTCTCTCCTACAAGAACACTACTGACATTGATAGCAGCTGTGCCGCTTTTTCATTCCTCGGCCAAGACATTTCGCTTCAGATCCAACAGCATCAACTCGATATCGACCGTCTCGTTGCCCACCATGTGAGTGCCTGATCACATATTCATCAATCTCTTCAATCGTTTTTGTGTGTGCCTCTGCCGGTGTGTTAGTCTTTCAATCCAATTGGGATGTTCTGGGTCTCTGATCCTTATTTTCTTGGGATTCGGTTACAGATGGAGAACGTGAGGGTGGAATTAGAGGAGAAGCGGAAGAGGCAAGCCAGGAGGATTTTAGAGGCGATCGAAGTTGGGATGATGAAGAGGCTCAGAGCGAAGGAAGAAGAGATAGCCAAGATTGGGAAACTGAATTGGGCTCTGGAACAGAAGGTGAAGTCGCTTTACATGGAGAATCAAATTTGGCGGGATTTGGCGCAGACCAACGAGGCCACAGCCAATGCTCTTCGTACAAACCTGGAGCAAGTATTAGCTCAATTCAAGGATGAGCGTCGATTAAACGACGACGAAGGTGCCACAGTCGTCCCCGCCGGAGCAGAACTGATGGAAGATGCACAGTCTTGCTGTGGAAGCACGGGAGGCGTCGACATCGACGAGCTGCGAGATGAAGGAAGCAACGAAGGGGAGGACTTGGAAGGGTGGCGCCGGGTAGGCGGGGCTGCGAAGGCTAAGGAGGAGGAAGAAGGTAATAAAACAAGGAGAAACGGCATGAGCAACCAGAGCAGATTGTGCAGGAAGTGTGGGAGAGAGGAATCGTGCGTGCTGATCCTGCCGTGCAGGCACCTGTGCCTCTGTCCTGTTTGTGGCTCTTCTCTCAACACTTGTCCCATCTGTAATTCCTTCAAAACTGGTAGCGTCCATGTTAACATGTCCTGAGTTTTGGAAATATCACCGACAAAAAACAATTTTCACAAAGGGGAAAAAAGAAAGTAAAAAAACGAAAAAGTTTCTTTGATTCATATGTACATGACTGTCCACTCCTTTCTGCGCTTTTTTTTTTTTTATATTTTGTTTTTGACGTCCATACCTGTTAGCTATCGCAGCCCATCACATTCTTGTGTTCATTCAATTGGGCAATTTCAAAGTGTTAAGCAACCATTTCTCATGAATTATATATGTTCAATTTAATTAGTGCCAGAGCGCCCCTCTGAATTGGAATCCATTAAAGGAAAAATAGTTTGAAGAATTAAATGGGGGTAGAAGATCAGATATTTTCTGAGAAATTAAGCAAATAGTTGTTTGGGGTTACAGAAATATCAACCTATACTTTTTCAATAAAAGAATTCAATGCCAAATATGTAAAACATTAAATGCTGAATGCTATAAGGATTGTGGGCAGATGTAAGTCATGTGAAGGACAGAGCTTGCATTATTTTGGGAGTGGGGTATGGTTATGGATGGGGGGGTAGAGGATGGTTGGGCGCGGGGTCATGATGTCAGGAAGAAATCACGTGTGTCAGAATGTGGAGTTTGAGATATTTGAAGAACAACATGGAGGTGCATATATAATTAAATATTGATGAGACGTGAATTGGATTTATTGTGAAATTGATGAAGGAAGATGTGAAGAATGAATAAGAGGGTTAAGAAAATGTAGGAGTTAGAGGGAATACTGACCCAAGGAGGAAGAAGGGGACAGGTGGTGAGGGGGACTCAGAATGGAGGGAAACGAGGGATGATGACGCTTCAGTGTATAGTTAATTGTATACATGGCTGTGTGTGAAGCTCTTATTCTTGATAATGGGTTTCAATCTTAGCATGGCTGTTGAGTTTTTAAGTATTTTTGAAAGTCTCATCCTTTACTGCAAGGAAACATTTTCTAATATGATCCTTGTTTATTTAGATTCAATAGGGACGCTCTACACTCCCAATCTCACGAAATTGGACACTTTGGACACGCCAGCTTATGTGGCTGCTTGGCCACCTCCGCTAGCCAACAAAAAAAAAAAGTACTGTTAGTAAGCAAAGAAATTAAAATGGTAGATGTAAACCTGCGTCGTGCTCGAGCATTCCCAAACAATTGTTGCATGTTGATGTGATTAGTGAAATTGAGGAATAACATGAGGGGCGGCGGTGAAGAAATGAGGCCAGAATTCAATTTGAGTGGCGCATTGAATAGCTTACGTGATGTCAGTTTGTATGATATACCATCTCATTTGGATCTGCGGGCCTCCAGTGGGCCCCCACCCCCACCTGTCGCTTGATGACCGGCACACGTGATCCCCTCCCTTTGGATTATTCACCACCACGACGCTCAGGTGAAGAGGCGTTTTAATTAGTATTACAATAACAATTATTACCTCTCCTGAATTATAAAATATTTTTATAAAAAATTAAACATTTTAAAATATAATATTTTTAATAAAAATAATTTTTATTAATAATAATTTTTATTATTATCTTTTTTATATATTTTTTAATATTTTTTATCAATGGATCATTAAATGAAGGATAATTTTCAAAATTTATATTTTTATTTTAAAAAAATTATAAAATATATTTAATAAATTTTATTAATATATAAAATTTATTTAAAATATTTTATAATTTAAATGGATAAAATATATATATTATTAATTATTGCCTCTAAAAGTGACGTTTCTACCTTTCTTCCCTTTGTCCTCCCGCTCCCCCCTCGTTTCCATTTTCATCCATGCTTCTCCCACCATGCCATCTATCCTTAAACTATGTATTTCATTATATAAAATATTTTAATTTTAAAGTATAATCATTATTTATTTTTTAAAAGTTTTCCTGTTGAATAGATTATTTTATATTTTTTTAGAGTGATATGTTTTATTAAATAAAGGTAAACATAAAAAAATAAGATTTGTTTAAAGATAAATAATTATTTTATTAAAGGTGAATTTAATTAAAAATATTTTATATTTTTAATGGAGGATTATCTCATGCTTCATGTAACATGAAATTCATTAATTTTATGTTTATTAAGACATGTTAATTTCGCCTCCATCATTCCATTTTCCATTTACACCCTTGAATTCGATTCTCTGCACTTATTTTTTTAAACAAATATAATGTTGTCATGTTTATCTATCTTTTATTTGCTGGAGACAATTTTATTTGATATGCATCTAGATACTAATTAATATGCATACTTCTCTCAACAAGAAGTAGATGAAATAATCTTAATATCGTATTTTGTAAAGAACTAACTTTTTTAACTAAACCCAACACCAACGTTGATTAAACATCATTTTCTCTTATTCCACTTTGTAATATACACTTATCTATACATATTAAAAAAAACGCGCGCGCGCACACATAAAAGAATAACTCTGATGAGATCAACTGTTTTTTTCTCTCAAACTCATGCTTTCTTTTTTTTTTTTCCTTATGTTAAAAAACAAGTCAATTCAATACTATTCATCCATCTGGTATTTGAATTAAATAGGGAAGCCTCTTCTCAATTTTTTTTTTAAATATAATAACAAAACTTAAATTGAAAACTTTGCTTCAGAGGCTGCCTGATCCAATTATTGTTGTTTTTTTTCCCCAGTCATTTTTCCTTCTTGATACAATGTATATAACCTCTCTCATATCAGTCAGATGACATATAGGAGATCCAAATCAGGCAATAAACTAAATCATATACAACCACACAATTGGTGATGCACTCTTAAGACAAGAATAAGACAACAAAAATGTGTAGACATATGTACACATGACTTTTTTAAAATATTTATTGACTATAATGTTGTGAATGCAAATATAAAAGTATACAGAATTGGATGGGTCGGTAGAAGATGCAGTGAACGTTGTTGTCCTGTTGATGGGGATGACATAATTAATGTTGCTTTATAATTTGACTTGAATATCTTAGACGGTGGAAGCATTCAATTCAATTGGATCACCTCACACACCATGCCTCCCCCACGATATAAAACCGATCTTATGAGTAAAGTAATATTATTTCGTGCATTTGATGACACCCCCAATATGTGTTTAATTAACTAATTTTCCCAACTGCAATCAAAATGCCGTCTGGAATTGAGACTGCCCGTTGGGAATATTGTGTCGTTACATGTCACAGTCGGCTTTAATTTTTTTGGGGGGGTGTATGGTGGTCCTTTAATTTTTAATTTAATTAATTTGAGGAATTTAATTCAACTCAGATAATGAATTTGAAATTGCGAGGCCTCTGTCACTCCATGTTATACATACATACATACATACATACATACATATATATGCACCTCATCTTGTATAATTTCTCAGAAATGGAATACTCGTGTACTCACGTTTTAAAGTTGTTTGGAGCTACATTTATTATTCTGCAAATTTTGTTTCGGTGACTTGTATTGTGATGAACCGAAAATTTGGATTTACAAGGAGACTAAGAAAAAATCGCTCTTTTTTTCTTTTTTCGTATAATGGAATGTTAGGAATGAGGGGTGACTTCTATTCTAACATTCGAGAAAATAAATGGGTAAATAATGATAGAAAATTAAAACCAATCTTAATTAAAAAGTCAAGACTTAAAATTTATAAGTGATTCATTAAAACTAACTTTATCAGATATGATAGATAAATTATCATATCAATTCAAGTTCATCCACGCTTAGATAATCATAGAAGATGATAATAATTTAATAAAAATAAGGTTAATGATAAAAAAGAGTAACAATGACCCCTCAAACTTGAAAAGATTCACAAAACGTACGTCCCTCTCTGTCTTTCTGTCTTTGACCTAACCATCACTCCCACATTATTATGATAATTCATTTGCCTCATTTTTTCTTTTTAATTAATTTCAGGGACCCAATGATAATAATAATGATATTAATAATAATGATAATAATAATAATCTCCTTATATATATATATATATATATATATGTATATGTATATGAACGTACGTGTGACATTCGTCCCTGCCCCTGATCAAATCAAAAGAATGCGGTGGAGGTTGATTGACCAATGCCATCCAAATATCATTTCACAAGATGAGATTCATCATCAAACTGTTTATCATATTGGTTTATTAGTAATTATATTTTACTTAGCGAGATCAATAATGAAAGACAGAAATGAATTGGTCGGAGAATGAAACGAATTCAAGAAAAGGACGCATGCGTGTGAAGAATGAGTTCTAGTTGATAACGATTTGACTTAGAATTTTAAAGATTGTGAGTTCAAATTCTGCTGATATAATAATTTGTTGGTGAAAAATCCAAGTATTTCAATAAACTTTTTTAAACCTGCTGGAAGCATGTTCCGGTTAGAGGAAGTTCCTGAAATTCAACTTTGCACTGTTTTATTTTTAAAAGAAAACTGTTTCATTGTCTTGTTTTCATAGTAGCGGGGACACACCCTATCACGCATCAACTTCCATGTTTCATGCTATTGATTATTGATTGTATCTATCAATCTCTTGGTGTCATATGTCAAGAAATGAGGTATGATTAAAAAAATAAATAAGGTGAAGGAATGGTTCAAATCCTTCGTCACGTACACACCACGCACCTGCCCCCACCCACTCATGACCACAACCACAATCTCTAAGTATTCGCTTTGTTTTTTTCAAGGTTTTCAAAAGCACACGATAAAATGCTTGTCATCTTATCTGCTGACGCTGTCTTTGGTTATAATACAATGCTGACTAATAATTTTTGGATTTCAAGTCTTCTTCTCTGTGCGTTTAAATGCTCCTGTTACTTCTCTTACAATCTATTTTAATTCTCCATTGGTTTAAATGAGCCGTGTATGTATGTATGTATATATAGCTGAGGTTATATCAATGTATATGTGATTCACACACACACCCATGATGATTCATCATTCTGGTTGGGGGATTAATATTGGGTATTGATGGGGCTTTAATCCCTTATTTATGAGAAAACTCACTCTTCAGGTCCCAGAATTTGAATAAAAAAAATTCATAAAATTATAAAATTATTTTGAAATCCCATGCAATTTATCCAAGTTGTCAGTTTGTTATATTG